TGGTCGCGGGCGCTCGACCAACATGGCCAGCGGCCGCGAGATACTCCACACCGTTATTTCGTGACAAAGAGCACGAACCTTCCGATTTGGGGAAACCGTCGCTTGCGCTCGGCAACGGCGGTGAAGTCAGCGCCTTGCGACGTTGATGCTCCGCAGAGGACCGTCGCGAAGGGTCTGACAGGCACGCGATGGGTGCGAGCATACCCGAGCCACTGCGGCGGGCTTGGGGCCGTCCCGAAGGTCCCTGGGCTCCGGGGTTGACGAGACCACCCGGAGCCGCCGAAATGGTCGGAGGCGCGGAAGCCATGCCTTCAGGGTGCGTGGACATCGGGGCGAGCGTCCGTGAGACACGCGAAGTTTTGTCGCCCCCTTGCCCACACCACAAGGCGGTATTCGGCGCCGACTGTCTCGACGGTCACCCAAAACAGGCTGTGATGAAGCGTGGGGCGACATCCGAGAAAAAAAGGCTGGGAAAGTAAGATTGGCGATCCCGAAAACGTCTGTTCGATACGAACGCCTTGGGATTTAGCCGTACAGTGCACAACCGGTACTGTTGACAGCGATATGTGCAAAAGGCTGTCACCGGCGTGTCAGTTACCCCGCGAGTGCGGGGTTCCGAAACTTTGGGCGTGCGGGGTTCCAGAGACAGCGGTGGGCGCTCGGGCCACGGCGGCCCCTGTGGCCGGCGCGAGATGTGGCGTGTGTGTGTTCGAGTTACGTTTCCCACCGCGGCGGCCTTCGTCCTGAGTATGGCCACTTCTCTTACCTGGGCCATTTCGATTGTTCACACGCGGGCGGTGAGGCTTCATGCGGTTTTGCCAACGTTGAAAGACCTGGACGCTATCAGCATGCGAACCAATGGCGGGGTTTAAGAGCCGGTGTAGTTGGTGAAAGAATACGAGCAAGTTTTGAGGCTGTGCCCCGCCTGCCCGCAGTTGAGACATTGGCCAGAAAATTGCCGCAAGGCGTGTGCGCGGTTAGCAGGTGTCAACAGCGGTGGAACAAAGAGGGATCCATCTTAGCCATAATCGCCACAACGCTGTACACGTAGCCGCAGTGGCCACGTAACGTCAAGCAGTCGTAATCCTGCTCGAAAGGGTGTGTGTTATGGGACAGCACAGGGTCAATGGCCACCACCCCAGCGAGAAAGCGTGGTCCAGGCGACCACGCGGACGGCTGCTGCTGCTGCTGCGGCGGCGGTGGCGGGCGCTGCTGCCCCACGATCGCGGTCATGGCTTGTATGGGCGCCGATGAAAACGCAGAAGTGACAATGGCAAAATAGCGTTCGCCACTACGGGCGGGCGAGTGTATTAGTGCTTACTCCGACGAAAAAGTATCCCAAAACCTATCTTGATCACAAAACGCCACGTTGTTGAGAATCTTATCCTTCAACGGCAAACATGAGAGAAAATTCGGGTACTGCTCCAACAAAGCGTTCCTAAGCGCACGCTGTACCATGCGCAGATCCGGCGCGAAAGCCCTACGCGAGGCCAACTCCGACATTCCCAACGCCTTGAACTTCGAAACGAATTTGCTGTACGGCGTGCCGTTGGGCACACCAAAGCCCTCAAGCTTGTCTATGCCCCGGTTGAAACCTTTCGGTTCCTACTCGTCCACGAGCAGCTTGAGCAGCCTACGGTATGCCGAGGGCCCCGACCTGTTCTTCGTCTCCAGAAAAAGCTTCACTTGAGAAACGAATAATCCACCAATTCGCGGGTTGAGGCATTGGCGCCTTGAGGGTTCGAAATGGCGATGATGACACGCTTCTGGAAAGGGGCATACCATCTGGCCACCTATGTGGGCGACTTTATGGTCTACTTGCCCGAGGGATCAGCGGCCGACAGGATTTCAGCCAGCACACTTTCGGCCAAACGAACGAAAGCAGAAAATTCTACCCGGCGAAGCGAAACAACCGCATACTTTAAGCTTGCTCTATTCTTTGCGCACGCCGAGAGCGTACGCCTCTGCGGCGGCAACGGCGGTCGCGTCCAGCTGTGCTTGTGCTGTGCGTACACCGGCAGACGACAGGGGGACCTGGTCTAAGAAGGCAAAGCAAGCGATCGAACAACAACTGAGAGTACCCGAAGCTGGAAACAACGGACTTGCTCCCTTCCCCTTGTTTCTCTGTTCCTCCATTATAACATTGTGGCGTCGTCGGCAGTCCTGCTGCATGCAGCTGCCACCGCTGCTGCCACTGCAGCTCCTGCTACAGCTGTCTCTGCTGCTTCTGCGGTTGCGGCTCCCGCTGCAGCGGCCTCGGCTGCCCCTGCTGCAATACCCGCTGCTGCTGCTGCGGTGCGGCTCCTGCTGCAGCTGCCGTTGCTCCTGCTGTTTCTGCGGCTTCTGCTGCAGTGGTCCCGGCTGCTCATGCTGCAGCAGCCTCTGCTGCTGCGGCTGCGGCTCCTACTGCCGTTGCCCCTACTTCTGCGGCTACCGCTCCGAGTATTGCTGTTCTACGGCCGCTGCTGCTACTGCTGCGATGCCTACCGTATCTGCGATGACCGCTGCATCGGACGCCGTCGACGCCGAGGTTGCCTCGGTTGCTGCAGCTGATGGTGCGGTTGCTGCTTCGGCAACTGCCGTGACTGACGTGAGGCCCACTGAGGAGGGACGTCCTGCGACTGTAAGTCGCAGGGGTGCTTCAAGCGAGTGGATCTCCGACAGCGACAGATTGGCCAGCAAGAGGAAGCCTAGAAGGCACCGTAGAAACCACTCACTGTCGTCCAGCTCGTTTCCCTCCAGCAATACTTCGTCTGACTCGTCCTGCTCCTCACCGTCGTCTTCCGACTCAGTCTGGTGCTTATCGTGTCGGTCGTCAAGACGATAGGCTCTTAGGTTTTGACTTCGATGCTCTAGTCAAGTTCGTCGACGCCGGTGCGTTTCAGTCGATAGCATCCAAGAGTGTCGGCCTCCACTTGGCCATCGACGTCTCCTCCGATCTCATGCCGGTGCAGAAACAACACGTGGGGAGACTGCTCGGCGACCGACAATCTGCCATCCAAGTTGCGTAGGCTGGTTGGGCGGCTTAGGGTCGCTCTGCGTGATATGCAGGAGGGGGACAGGTTCAAGCATGTAGACATTGCTGGACGCTCGGGGTCTGGTTCGGGGGGTCGCTCTCAGGCGGGGACCTTCCAACCTTCGGACGCTTCCGGGTGGGGCTCCACATTAGGCGTCCACTGGGTGTTGCCATTCCTCTTGCGCCCACGACCGTTCGCAGACACAGAACTACCACTCGCAGGATGCTGGCCGTTCGACGGGATACGACTCTCGCGGTCGCACGGGCTTGTCACAGGGATGCTGGCGGAGGCAGGGCTTGTACAGTAGTATCGTATATTTAGTAGGACATTACATGCCCGTTTTTCAGTGCAGCTGTGGGCTGTAGACGCGCTTGGAAACCCGTACCCGTTGCAGCCGCCTTTCATGGGTCCTGGGAGCCAGCAGTGGCCAAGGACGCTTCCGCAGGACCCGATCACCGTCACTTCTGCTCACATGCCTCATGCCGCCATGCCACTGCCTAGTACTTTGCCGCCTCACACGCTGCGTGGTGGGTCAAAGAGACCCAACCTGTCATTGACCACGCCGGGCCTGACCTAGGACGTGCACGACAGCTATTGAATCGCAATGTCTCTGTCGAGTTTCCCCCAGCAGTGACACCTGCCGGCGACGGCGTCGCCGTCGGTGCCCCCGCTTGTGTCGCCACAGCCGGTGCCGTTCGTAACGACAGAGCCACCGTCATTAGCCGCCGCTTTGCCAACGCACACACCATTTGCCGTCGTGAAACCGGAGGCGCCGTCCCTCGCTTCCGTAGTGAAAACGGAGACGACGTCGGTTTCCGGGGTGGTAACGACACCCGTACAATGTGTTTTGCCACAGGTATCATAGGTCTCGGCTATCGCGGTGTCGGTGGCGAGGCCACCGCTGAGGGCCATTCAGCCAGCCACAAGCGATTTCTCAGAGCCAACTCGGAGAGTGAGGGAGCGGGGCTGGGACTTTGATTCCCCTTGAAGCTACTTCAAAACCCCTCAACGAACGACGCCAAAGATCCATATCCAACGAAAAATCAAAATCCAAGAAGCGCTCATACAACGCTCACGTAACGCTCATATGCATACTGTACCACCCTCAGACACTTAAGTTGCTCCATTACACCGTCGTCCTATTTCTGTAGACACAAAGAAGGGGATGTGCGTCGTGTGCATGTCTCGATTCCATTTACTACTTCACCTGACGCGCGGGACATTGTGTACTACTGGACGTCATATGGAACGTCCCACGTGTCCCATGGGATACCATGGGACAGCTAGGGACGTCCCAGGGCTGTCCCATGGGACACGTGGGACGCCCCATGGCGTCTCCCTTGGGACGTCCCACGGCGTGTCCCATGGGACGTCCCACACGCCCCACGCCTAGGACACCCCATGGGACAGTCCTTGGACGTCCCATGTGTCCCATCGGGCACATGGGACGCCCCCTGTGTCCCATGGTGTCCCATGGGGCGTCCCACGGGTCCAATGGGACGCCCCACGCGTGCCATGGGATACCATGCGACAGCAAGGGACGTCCCACGGGACACCATGGGACACGTCGGACGTCCTGGGGCTGTCTCATGGGATGGCCCCACATCAACGGGGGGTGGGATTTCTGGCCGCTTCCCCCCATGAACCAAGATGGATTAATTGATCAACTATCCCAGATTAAGACGAGATCCTGTGTACTCGCAAGCTGCCTGAATGATGAATACCTTGACCAACCCCGCTTTGAATGCACTCGCCTTGCGAATACCACATAGTTATGCAACCCGATGCACGACGAGACGAAAAACAGGATCGTGAAATGTGTGAATGAATATCCATCAGCATCGAGCCACGGCAACACCATCAACGAAAAGTGAAATTGCACGCACACACACAATGTGAGCTCTTGTGTAGATTAAACCATGTATTTATTGATTTTCCATCTTCATTTCCGTCTTCAATTCATGAATCAGCGCACCACGCAGGATGGAGTGCGGCAACTACCGGGGCATCTCTCTCGTCGCACACGCCGGCAAGGTGCTGCTTAAGGTCGTCGCTACACGACTGAGCCACTACTGCGAGCGAGAGGGCATCCTCCCGAAGGAGCAGAGCGGTTTCCGCCCACACCGATCGACGCTCGACATGCTGTTCGCCATCCAGCGGCTCCATGAGCTCGCGAGGAAGAAGAGTACTGCGGTGTTCGCGTGCTTCGTCGACCTCACCAAGGCATACGATTCGGTGGACCAAGACCTACTGTGGGACGTGCTCCGACGCTTCGGCGTTCCCCCGAAGATGCTGGCGGTCATTCGCCACTTCCACGAGGGCATGAGGGCGCGCGTCCGAACGGACGAAGGGCATACTCGGAATGGTTCGACGTGTGCCAAGGCCTCCGACAGGGATGCAACCTGGCCCCGCTGCTGTTCAACTTGTTCTTTGCCGCGATGCTCATGGTCGCCATGGCCGAGTTCGACAAGGACCGCAAGGTGATGGCGGACATGGTCAAGATCGGGACACAAGTGGAGTACACGGGCAAGAAGGGCAGGTCGGCGGGGAAGAAGACGACGGTAGTGACGGACGCGGACGCCCTGTGGGCCGTGCTCTACGCTGACGACGCAGCCATCCTCTCGCGCTCGCCGGAGAGTCTCAAGAAGATGATCTCGGTCATCGTGCACGTGGCCGGCCTGTTCGGACTGATGGTATCGGAGCCAAAGACGGAGATCATGTGCATGCTGCCGAAAGGGATCGAGGAACGCCCGTTCACGGTCAGCGCCGCCGGCCAGACGTACAAGCAGACAGATCGGTTTGTGTACCTCGGACGTACCATCTCCGCGGACGGGAAGGCCGACCGGGAGATCACGAGCCGCAGCTGCCGAGCGTGGAAGTGCTACCGCCGGAACAGTGCTTCGATGTACGACAGGCGACGGGCCGACCGCCTGCTCAACATCCGGCTACTCCAGGCTGAAGTGGTGGACCGCCTGCTCAAGATCCGGCTACTCCAGGCTGAAGTGGTGGAGCCTCTCCTGTATGGGTGCGCCTCGTGGAGCCTAACAGCGGAGCACTACACGAAGCTCAATGGGACCCACCGCCAGTTCCTTACACGGTGCATCGGCTGGAGCAAGCGGAAATGCTCAGACCGCCCCCTGTCCTATGCCCAGGCCCTCATCCAGGCAGGCTGCGAGGAAACCATCGAGGCCACCGTGCGCAAACGGAGACTGTGTTTCGCGGGCTTTGTTATGCGCATGGAGGACAACCGCCTCCCCAAGCGCATGCTGTTAGGAGCGATGGCGGGGGGCGTGGGATACCGGGGCGGGCAGGAGAGCGACTGGGTGTCTCGTCTAGGAGAGGACCTCGTGGCCTTCGCATGGGAGACGAAAAGGAAGGGGGGAAATGGAAAGAGAGCGCCAAGGACTCGGAGGTGTGGTACAACAAGGTCGAGGACGGGGCAACATGGTTCATGAGGAAACGGCACAGGCAGGAGGCGGAAGCGTCCGCGAAGCGCCAGCGCGCGAGGGAAGCAGAAGCAAAGAGTACGGCCATCTCGGGACCGAAGAGAAAGAGAGCCGGGGAAGCGGCGGTGGGGGGGAAGCAACGGCGACCGGGCACTGCTGTAGAGGTGATTAGGGCGGCCGAAGCAGCACTTGTGGCGAACTATGTACTCGGCTGATGTTGTTGTGCCCTGTTTCCTTCCCTGCTGTATGCTATACTCCTTTATGTATGTCCTTTGTATTGCCTTTGGCCTCTGCGCCGTGTCTTTTTTTCATGTCCTCCCTGCCTACTCTGCTGTGTTGGGTACCTTGACCTCTCTTTTGCTGTTGCTTTTGTTTATATACATCTGGCTGTCTGCCCATCTGCCGCCTCTTTGTCCTGTTGGCTCCGTTACTCCCATGCCCTGGTGCGTAGTGCCTGGTGCTGGTACGTTACCCTTTAATTTTTCTTTTCTCTAGGCGGGTGTGGGAAGCGTGCTCCTTGATTTTTGTGATCGGTTTCCGAGGGCTCTTTTCTCGACCGGTCGGTGCGGTAGTTGTGCTTTTCGTTCTATCATGGTTTGTAATCTAGTAAGTTTTCGAGCATACCAAATAGTCTAGAGGGGCGATATAGCCATGGAAGTGAATACATTTTTTATGGTTGGTGGTTGGTACATGCTATGCATACATGTAGCACGTTGCCGGTCTCCTCGAGAAATGCACATAACACCAGCAGCGTAATTCAACACGTGAGCTCATGCAGCTGTAGACAGGTAAATGGGCATACGCGCATGTCGGTAGGGGCTTGTGCAACTTCACCTGGAGGCTACGAATGAATCAAATTGTTACTTGCGCACACTAGAGCAAACCCAGCAAAATACAGCATCAAATTTGAACGTGTCACAAGCTCGCGTGTCCCGGCAATTTTGTGCCAGCTGGAGGAAAACGGTACTCGAGCTCTCTCGAGGTTTCAGAGTCATCCTTCCAACCAAAGGAAACCTCCGCCGCCGCATCGACCATCTCATCCGAATACTGTGGGAGCCCTGAAAATGAACCGAAACTACACGCCCATCCCGAGGGCCAGCGCGATGGCCAACACACTCGTCGCTCCGGCTACGAGAGCCGACGTTGACAACCTGCGGCCTAGTAAACCACCATCATCACTTTCGGGTTCAATTGGTGGAGACGTTCCGGTGGGCACAGCGATCGGGTCGGGCGCGGGCGCGGGCGTGCCGGTGCATCCGCAAGTGAAGGACACCTCCTCAGCGGTGACGTCCGAGTACTCGCCGGTACCGTCGAGATCACCTGAATTGCAGGCGAAACCACACAAACCACGCCGGCAGACATTTTGGCTCCACATGAATATAATCGGGCAGGCGACCGAGTAACGAAGCCCAACAGGTAAGCGGTGCATAACTTTGTGCTGAGTCTCAAAAATCAGGGACTCTACATTTCCGCAGAGAATGACATGAACCCCGACGTGATGAGTAAACCGCCGGCTGTGTATTGCAGTTGCAAAACGAAAAATGCGGGCTAGTTCTTGAGCTGGAGAATCCCGAATACGAGAAGATTCCAGGCCGTGTGGTCCTGCCCCTGCCGTGGCATGACTGGATCGTGATTCAACAAGCGGAGCGGTAGCGGGATGGGGGTCGCGAAGGTAATTTGGTTCTCGGGTACGGTTTTCACGTCCGAACAAGAAAGACGATACCAGGAGTAGCAGAACTCCTTTTGCAACATGATGTGTGCTATTGACGGGTTTCAACCAGGGGTTCGATTGGATTTGGGGCAAAGAAATGGGTAGCAGCCAACCGGCGGAAGCTCGGAAAGGGCTGCCCGTGAACGAAATGCACAGGGACCCGAACAAGAAACAGCTCGAACCACTAGACGGAAGTGCAGCCCATCATCCTGCACGAAATGAACCGAAAAGGTTAGTGCAGGAGCTGTACACAGAATAAGCGAAGTTACCCCCTCGCACCCCTACCAAGCCGGGAATTATCTTCCGCCGTATTTGTTTTTCCGCCGAACAGGCTGATCACATCAGACCTTGATCGGTGTAAAGAATATTTTTTACGACACCTAACCAAGAGAGCTTCAAAAGGCCGCCATTCACGTCATATAGGACATAAATATCTACGTCAAGAACTCCTTGGCAGTGTCTCAGCGTGTCTCTATTTTGCCGAGGACCTCTCTGCCATGTTCACACCATTCTCAACCCATCATGCCCATGTTAGGTGTGCGGGCTGCCAAGAAGGACATTCCATCCTTACTTTTGTCACGACGGTAACTACGACAGCACCCGAGAGAACCTAGCATAGACGCTACAACAAAATACCACCGGTTTGCTCGAGACCGGCGACCAGATAAAACACACCCTCGCGGTTGTATGGACAGGCTTCAGGGTCATTACAAACAAACGCTGATAATCTCTTCAAAGTCCTTCGAAGTTGAATGCAAAGATTGCGTATGCAAATCCCGGCAGCATTATCGACGGTGAATCCTGTGAAACACGTTGCTATGACAGAAATTTGACAACCGGCGCTTTTAGAACAAATTTATTCGTATATATTTCTACTCTTATTTTCCAACAGTATGTCAAACTGAACTCAATTTTCAGCCCTCCCGCGTCAGTCCGCATGTTGCAATTTTTTTAGGAACTAGGTTAAGCCTGAAAGTGTCCTAACCTAGGAGGTTTGACCCCTTCGGGAATAGAGTGGTTACCCTGAGTTTCTGGGATACTTCGAGGGGTCATGTTTGATCGGTACTTCATTCATCCACCTTTGAAGAGTAGAGGAGAGTGGGGCGTAGATCGGGGTCGCCGCCATGAATGGTCATTGAAGATTGAAGCCTAATGAATGTAGTTTTCACGAAAAAATGTAGGCAGAAAAAAATAATCGCAGCGTCTCATGGTCATCTCGTCGTCAAGCTTCTACCCTTTCACCATCTTCGCTGCCTTGGTTCATCCTTCGTTCGGCTCGGTGCATTACAAGTGTGAATCGGTGTCATCGAGAGAGTCAAGCCCCCCCCAGCAAGCCCCTATCCACACTCGAAAGGCAAACTCTTACATTGCCACGTTGCGTCGGTCGGGTGAACCAAGATCCCCTGCTCGTTCGAATAGCAGTAAACCACGGTGGCATCGTCGTCCGCGGAGAGGAAGACCAAAAACCACGGAGTGGAGTCATCCTGCAAAACATTTCAACACCGGGACAATCCGGAGGATATAAAGTGGGGGAAGGAAATTCTTTGACCGGCAAACTTTCAAAGAGCACGTAACAAGGATCGCCATCAGTAGACAAGGCAACCCAAGCTACAACGTGGCATGGTACAGGTGCAAGTCAGTGTGGAGATGTTGCCATCACACCATGCGCATTGCGCCCGCAATGCGTTTTAGGCGCAGGACACGGGCTGAATAGCGGCAAAGGACTGCTGCACAGGGCAAACGCTGAATTCCGGTCCAGAGAACTTTGGCTACAACCAATGAATTAAAACAAAGGAGATCCAGCTTATATATGACATGGGTCTCGGGCGGCATCAGGGAATCACGATGCTCCTTCCACCCGTTTCCCTGCATCACCCACCGACAACGCTGCGAGCCTCTGATCCACTCGGGTGCGCGTGAGCATATACATCCCGCTCTACCGTGCACGCCACACGCAGACCGTATCACGGTCAAATATGGGCCCAAACATTGATCAACACCCACATCAAAGTCATAGGGGGGCCTCAGATATCACCACGCCCGCAACAACACTGTGTATCTGCCTCGCGGGTCGTTGACTAATTTAACACAAAGTGGTGCCATCAATCCCTTCGCGCGGGGTAAGGGTTCTCGATGCCGCACAACGTAATCTACTCGACCACCGTCATGGTTACATGACAAAAGTAGGACAGGAAAAACAATAACGGTAACCTGGATGTCGAGCTCACGCATCGATCGGCGCGCTTTAAAACGTCGTCGCCAAGCGACGATAACCCACGATGTTGAGGAGGGGGAGTTGGACAAAGCGGGACCCAGACATCAAAATTTCATACGTTCGCTTCCACGGCCTCTGTGGTAGCACCTCACCTCTTCTTCCGTGTCCAGGTCTAGGATGGAGGCCACCAAAATACTCTCAAATTCGGCCTCGCCGGTCAAGCTCCAGTATTCCTCGGTTGATTCCGGCGTAGAGAACAAAGTAGAAGTCGCCTGGAAGCATCCCTGGACACCAGGGAGCTCCGACGAAATGATCTGGAACGACTCGGTGTCCCCACATGTCGGCGAAGACGGAGCGATCTCAGGAGATGAAGATGGAGCAGGGACAACATCCGGGAAGTCGATCGACCCGAGCATGGGGGAGGGGGTCCCGCCCGAGATCGCCGGCGCTGGGGGCGGGCTGACGGACGTTGGTGTCGAGGTTGGCCCTTGCGTGCCCGGGAGGCCTCGGCTTCCGGCAGCTGGGCCCGGCGTTGGAGCCACGGAAGGCGCCGGCCCCGACGTTGGTGTGACGGCCTCGGATACCGGAGCAGGTGTAACCTAGCTAGCGTTATTCCATGTGGTCGGACAAAACGAAGCCAAGATATGGATTAAGAGGGGGTTTCTGAGATCTTTTTCATCTGCGGAAATCGCTTGGGAAGTCGAACAGCTATTTCATGCGTTCGTATTCTCGGCAGCATGGAAACGAGAGCTCAGAGTTCGTCTGAGCTGTACCTGGAGTTGAGGGTGCACGATTCCACACCGACAGTGCTAGCAGCATGTGCAATAGCGAACAGAGGAAAATGGTTGACAGTCGAAAGTGCTCCAAAATTCTGATCTTGCTGGAGATTGTACGACTACCGCCAGACTTGAGGTAGGGAGTAACGATAGCCTGTGGGCAGGGGCCCTGTTGTGTGCGCCTTGCAAACCCAAGGCTGCACCCCCCCATGAAGCTGACACGTCAAGTCTAATGACTGCTATGATCAGGAGATTTTGTAGCACAAGAAAATCAAATTTGGGAGAAGTGGTGAGATGGAATGTCCATCACCCTCTCGATCGAACGCCAAAGGGATGACGGCAACCCTTCGGACCGTCAGGTACGCCGTTGCACAGTTCTTGGTGAGACGTTTGGCTTGGCCAACACCTGTTATAGGTGGGGCTCACACCAATGTGTTTCCAGTCATTCTTGCTGGATATGTGCGTTCAAAGCATCCGGCCGCACGGTCAAAACATGAGATGGACACCAGGCCGTATCATCTAAATATCTCGTCAAACGCACTACTTCAGCATGCCCGCCGGCCCATCCTTCACAGACATCGGTATTTCGGAAAAGGAAGCGCGTTTGTTGCACCCATTAAGCGTTATCAACATACCGGGGACTCCGTCAAGGATACCGGGGCAGGCGTCGTGGCGCCAACCGGTTCAGGAGCAGCAGGCACGGGTTCAAGCGTGGTAGGTACGGGTTCCGGCGTGAACGATATGGATTGCGGCGTGGTCAATACGGTTGGTTCCGGCGTAGTAGATTCGGGTTCCGGTGTGGCAGACAAGGGTTCAGGCGTAGGGTTTACCTGTTCCGGCGTGGTCGATACCGTTGGTTCTGGCGTGGTAGATACGGGTTGAGGCGCAGGGGTTACCGGTTCCGGCGTGGTCAGTATGGTTGGTTCCGGCGTGATAGATACGGGCTCCGGTGTCGTTGACACGGGTTCCGGCGTAGGGGTTACCGGTCCCGGCGTGGTCAATACGGTTGGTTCCAGCGTGGTTGATACGGGTTCCGGCGTAGGGGATACCGGTTCCGGCGTAGCAAGTACAGGTTCGGGCGTGGGATCTGGGAGAGGTTCGGTAGGCTCAGGCGTGGGGTCTGGGAGAGGTTCGGTAGGTCCAGGGGTGGGCTCTGGGAGAGGAGACTCGGTAGCCTCGGGGGTGAGGTCGCTGGAACACCCGCACGTAAAGCTGGCGCCATCGGGCCCGAAGGTCTGGGTCGACGAAGACGCGAAGATACCTATAGCGCGAGAGACAAGTGAAAAAGTTGATCACGCGCAATAGCAAACGGTGGCATCCCCGGATGTGAGTTTCGGTATGGGTGGGTAACACGACCGCCGTGCCGATTGGTTTCACGTAAGACAGTGATATGCACTGAGAGGACCAAGCCCGCACATGAGTATGGGCAAGGTAATTTACGCGCGTGGGGATCGGAGTTCTGCAAACACCACACGGCGCGAGGTGTAGCCGGTACTGTATCGTGCACAACCAGACAGAAGTTCGGGCTTCCAGGTGACGGGTCGTCGTTAGATAGAGAGCGGGCGAAAATCAGAAAAAACATGGTGTTCGGTCCCCTTGCACGCAACAGCAACACCAACAACTACAACGGCAATGTAGCGGAATTCTACCTCCGTTTCACCGCTGAAACTTACAAACCCAAGTTGCGTCGGCCGGGTGAACTGTGCCAGCCTGCTCGAAGGAACCGCAGTAAATCGTTGGCTCCCCATCAACTTCTGACGACGAAGTGATCTCCGGAACGTATCCCAGGTACCAATAGATCTGCCACGAAATCGACGGGAGCGCGATTGGTATCGTCGGAATGCGCGGGCTGTGGCAGATCGAATCATCTACATCCGCTGATCAGGACGTCGCTTGATCATGTATGACGAAATGCCACCCTGGCTCCCCGCGACCGGGCTTTATCCGACGGGCGTCTCCGGGGCTCTGTGCGGGCCCACGTGCTGCGCAAAACACCGTGATCCGCGAACGTATTACTTCTTCGGGAGAATCCGAGAACGTAGCACTAGTCACGTAGAGAGGGGGTGGTATCTTGCGTCAATTGATTCTGTCTACAGCACTTTCCACCTCCTCGGGCCTTTAACACAGAAAGAACTCGCGAACTCTTCGGTTGCTTCTCGACCGGCAGGATACAGAGGACAATAACCAAACAATCCCGTCATGCCTACGGAAGGGAGGGTGCCACGGCGTCTAAAATACGATTCACTGGAGAAGGGTGTGCGCGCTGGGGCATATCGACTGATGCCAGGGGCATGCATAGCACGACCATCTCACCTCAGGGTCGGCGTCTTGTGAAGTCGGCAGGCTGTAGATCCACATCTCAGCACCGCCTACTCCACCCGTCTGAGTGTAGACGTACTCATCGGACAGCGTGAAACCAGTGGATAGGTAGCAACCATCCGCTCCCGGCAGGGCGGAAATGTCGACAGTGAACGACTCTCCCTCGGAGCAAGAGCTCCCGCTTGGAGCAGCGGGTGTCGTACTGTCTACATTCGGGGCAGGAGTGGTGGTAACAGTGGGGGTCGGTGCGGCGTCGTCGTCGTCGCATCCGCAGTCTACGCCAAAGGTGGTGTCGGTGGCCGCCACGATCCCATCTTCGGTTGTATCATCAACACCTGGTTGTGGGTCGCGGGATGGCAGGTGTGACGCAGTTTGCGGACGCACATTCCTCTCGGATATTCTGCAAAATGCCGATGCCATTTCACGAAAACTTTGGATTCATCAAGACAAGGACGAGTGAACTGGACGCTTAGACTAAACCTACCCATGGGTGGGACATGCAGCGTACGATAGGACGACACAATCGACCTCGCGCATCGCCGACGGGCAACGCTACCAACTTGGGACTTACAGTACCAGGTCGCCGTTGAAGGGTGTACCGAGGTGACAGGCTCGAGCGAGATACACGCTATGGCCAACGACGTTGTGCCGTAGTAGGCCACCCAGATGTACTGCGCGCAATCAAGCAAAAACAACAAACGAGATCAGAATAACCAAGAAAGCCACCCCAAAACCCCGAGAACAGACTATCTGCTTTTCTCTTCTCATGTTCCCGTGGCACGGGCTGAGCGGCATCCTGACAAACGAAGGGACTTGGCAATGTACAACTACTCTTGTTCGACCCCGGTATTGATTATATCATTTAGGCGATGGAGCAGTTGGTTCGGCTTGGACTATTATACTGTGTCGTGAGGGAGGAGGTTGATCGCCAAATCATAGAAGCAATCGAAGGTCAACGCGACATCGTGATATCACAAACGAAAGCAACGACAAAGGTTGCATCCGCATGTTACTGCCGCGTTGAGAGGCATCTGCCAGAGTAGTTTGGAATATGAAGGTGGAGGTCGACTGTTTTCAAGAACAGTTAAGCGACCTGATAGACCCCACTGACACATGTAGGACCCTCAGGCGTCATACGTGGCCAATCGAACTCCCACTACCCTTGAGTCATCAGTTTACTTAGGACACTACACGTCGGAACAGCCTCTAGTTGGCCTCGCCGCGTACCTCAGCATCGATGTCGTCGCTGTTCAGCTCGGACGCAATGACCCCCGTCTCTCCAACAAACTCCACCTCTCCTCCCTCTATCAAGTCCATCTCGACCAGGCAGCCTTCCAGTAGGGGGAACATCGAGCTGGTCACCGTAACCCCCGCACCTTCGGCGCAAGTCTGTAGTCGACGATACCGATCGCGGTTGTCGGTGTTCGTGATGTGGCTGATCAGACCGGCTCGCAACTTTCGAATCTGTACATCTGTATCCTGCGATGACTGAGCACGGCTTTTCTTGCGATCTTCGACTTTTGAAGCGAGGCCATAGAGTTTGGCCACCGGGCGCGGCGATCGGAGGCGCGCGAAAGCAGCCGTTGGCATCGTGGCGAGCTTCCTGGGGTCAAGAGTGGTGCCTGCTGCTGAGGGATCGTTCATCTCTCTCCCGCTGTTCTGCGCGGAGCGAAGCGATTCAACTGAGCATGGGCATTCTCGACGACGTTTCCACCAGACACCTGTGACTCGAATCGGGCGAACGGAAGAAAGCAAGTACCGGTTGTATCGCGTCGGTGGCAGTAGCGGCGGCGGCTGCGGTGGGGGCGCAAGCAAGTAAGCCAATGATATGAGTGAGTCCACTCGTGTGAGCCTCGATTTCCGCAAGGAAATTGCCTCCCAATGCCCATGTTGATTGTTGAATTGAAAATTCGTAGGAGTGCCCTTGGGCGCGGTTTCCCGAAATCCCTTGACGTGTCCACTCCGTTCTCGGATGAAAGCACGGCATAATGGATGCACTTTATCCAAATAAAGCGACGCTGATCCGTCCGGACTCTTACATGAGTTATAGCGGGATGAAGTTGATACTGCTGTACTACAAACAGTATGCTGTTGTAGATGATACAACGATTGATTCTCGGTGTAGTTCTTGTCGATGTATGTAGACGATAGACTTTGTCCAACTGAAACGTATTTGTACGACTTGATGGATGTTGTATGATATGTATTTGTACGGAGCATGTATAGGGAGTTTTGTTTTCAACATTTTTTTACTTTATTTTGGTATAGCCCCCCCCTCTCCTCAGCGCCTCTGCAGGGGGGTTAGGTGTTGGGATTTTTTTGTTGTGCGTCCTTGGTTTTTTAGGAAGTAAACATAACATCACAGAAAGACTACCCGGTTTTTTAGTTAATTTTTATATTTGCGGGGGTTTCAGAGGACAAGGCGGAAAATAAATACTTCAATAAAACACCTCCATTTGAAGAGAATAGCAGCCATCTATCGCTGTAAGATTTTTTTAGTGTAGACCAAAGGCTAGGTGCAGATGATAGGGGCATCTTCATCTGGTCAGGTTCTCCCCCTTACCCCTTGTCGGCTTGTGTCGTTGTCTTGACGTGACCTAAAAAATCGGTTACGATTTCTTCTCCGTACCTTACACTACGGCTGTGTAGAATACTCGAGGCTTGATCCGTACCGGTCCACCTGCCGCGCATGCCTTCCGTGATTACCCCAGGCTACAAAAAACGCAATGGCCGGAACGCCGACTAAAAATTAGGAGATCAGATAGAGAACACACGCTACACCCAGTCCCTCCGCACAAAAAAATGCTGCAACAATGTTTTTCAGCCATTGGTCGAGGGGCTACAGTTCCCCCAAAGAATCTGATCTGAGCTCCTTGCCAGACAAAAGGGTGACTTGCTTCAGTACGGACGGGGCCCACAATTGAGAAAAGTTCTAATATAAAAACGGCTTAAGTATTTATGGAAAATAAAAAGGCCTAAGAAACACAGCTCAATCTCGGCCATAACAAAAGAAACGTCCCAATATGAAAGATGATCGTGCGATACCAAGACATCAGAAGCAAGGGGTAGAATCTCGGGGCGCGTGTCCAAAGAGACGCCCCACTCACTGCTGCTGCTGCTGCTGCTGCAATGCTCCCACCCCCTACTACCTAGCTCATGCCATGTAATTTTTTGGTAGGGGTAGAGAGTAATCATTTTCGCGGCGCCAAGCGCCCCAGCACCGCCGCGGACTGCGCTACCCATTGCTTCTGTACTTCTGTACTGCCACAACCCCCAATGTTCGCCACAAGAACCTGTCGGTTTGCAGTTAGCGCCCGCAATTAAGAATTGTTTTTGAAGAAATCGAGGCTCACTTTTCCACGAAAAATAAGAAAATAGGGTTAAGAAACATCGCACAGTCTGGGTCACACAACAAGAAACAGCGGCGACGGCTGCCCTACTACCTAAAAAACGAGGGGTTACGGGAGAGTGTGTCAAATAAGAAACACCCCACAGCCCCTCTTCTCTCTAGCTCTTTCCCCCCTCTCCCACCACCACCCCGCCCCCCAAAAAGTGCATCATTAGCTGTACGACGGGGGGGGGGTGTACTCATAGTCGTGCATGCCGTAGTCGTAAACGGTTGACCTCGCGTCCCTACAAAGCCGGGACGGAGCACGCCGGGTTCTCAACGGACCAGGCTCTCATATCACCAAGCGCGAAGTGCCGTGAGATATTCGGCGAGTCTATAAACGACGAGGGGGGAGTGTGTATTTTTTTTGCGGCGACCCCTCCGCGCCCCCCCTCGTCCTAGACTCAAGTGGGTTGGCGCTGTTGGCAAAGCGCTGTAAAACACGCCACCCCAAAAATAGCCCCCCTAGTATGGGCTACCAAAGACGCGTGACGCATGGATCGTGGAGTGAGGATATAGCTTACGGAAACCTCACAGGTTGAGTGATGTAGGAGATTGCTGGACACATAGACGTGTTGAGTGATTATAGCTGTATACTGAAACCTCAAGGGTTGAGTGAGGTTTGAGATTGCCAGACACATGGACGGGTTGAGTAGAGATAGCTGCATACTGAAACCCCACGGGTTGAGTGATGTTGGAGTGCCGGACACATAGTCGCGTTGAATGAGGATAGACACATACTGAAACCCACAGGTGATCTGGGATGGAGATTGCCGGACACATGGACGTGTTGAGTGAGGAAATACACATTCTGAAACCTCGCCGATGCATTGGTTTTTGAGTTTGCCAGACATATAGGCGCGTTGAGGGAGGATAGCTGAATACTGAAACCTCACAGATGGATTGGTTTTTGGGTTTGCCAGACACATAGACGCGCTGAGAGGGGATAGCTACACACTGACCCCTCACGAGTTGGGTGATGGTGGATAGTGAACACATCGACGCTTTGAGTGAGGAAAGACACATACTGAAACCTAATAGGTGATTTGTATTGGAGAGTACCGGACACATAGACGTGTTGAGTGAGGATAGCTGCATACTGAAACCTCACAGATGGATTGGATTTTGAGTTTGCCAGACACAGACGCGCTGCGTGGGGATAGACACATACTGAAACCTCACAGGTGAATTGTATTGGAGATTGCCGGACACATGGACGTGTTGAGTGAGGATAGCTGCATCCTGAAACCTCACAGAGGGGTTGGTTTTTGAGTTTGCCAGACACATAGACGCGCTGCGCGGGGATAGACACATACTGAAACCTCACAGGTGAATTGTATTGGAGATTGCCGGACACATGGACGTGTTGAGTGAGGATAGCTGCATCCTGAAACCTCACAGAGGGGTTGGTTTTTGAGTTTGCCAGACAAATAGACGCGCTGGGTGGGGATAGCTGCATACTGAAGCCTCACGAGTTGAGTGATGTTGGATAGTGCCGGACACATAGACGTTGTGAGTGAGGAAAGACACATACTGAAACCTCACAGGTGATTTGAATTGGAGATTGCGAGACACCTAGACGTGTTGAGTGAGGATAGCTGCATCCTGAAACCTCACAGAGGGGTTGGTTTTTGAGTTTGCCAGACACATAGACGCGCTGCGTGGGGATAGACACATACTGAAACCTCAAGAATTGAGTGTTGTAAAGTGCCGGACACATGCACGCTTTGAGTGAGGAAAGACACATACTGAAACCTCACAGGTGATTCGTACTGGAGATTGCCAGACACCTAGACGTGTTGAGTGAGGGTAGCTGCATCCTGAAACCTCACAGATGGATTATGGTTTTTGAGTTTGCCAGACACATAGACGCGCTGCGTGGGGATAGCTTCATACTGAAACCTCACGATTTGAGTGATGCTGGATAGTGCCAGACACATAGACGCTTTGAGTGAGGAAAGACACATACTGAAACCTCACAGGTGATTTGTATTGGAGATTGCCGAACATATAGACGCATTGAGTGAGGGAAGCTGCATACTGAAACATCACAGGTTGATTTGTATTGGAGATTGCCAGACACATAGACGCGTTGAGTAAGGATAGCTGTATGCTGAAATCCACAGTAGCTACAGTGAGGGGACAATTCGAGAATGCAGTACACATAGATTCGACCCCCATCCAGTACCCGAACCCCCCCTGAAAAAAAGAGGCCATGCGCGCCCCCCCCTCTCTCTACCTCCCCCAGAGGATGAGGAGAGTACAGTCCAAAGTAAGCACAAGCTTACCCAAGGTTAACGCCTATTGGTACGGCATTAAAATATACTAGAGTCCCCCATTGGGCGGTGGAGGACTTAGAGCTAAGACACCCCAAAACTCTCCGGCGTGAGATCCAAAATGGATCGGACGGTGGAGGGGGGGGGGGTGTTCGTTGCTGGAAGTGGATCGATAAAACATAGAGCCATCAAAGCAAAGCTTATTACTCACGTCGAGCAAGCTGAACGACCGGACCAACCACGCAAAAACTACGGAGCTAGATATGCGGCACGCACAATTCATTGTTTTCGATTGGCGAGAGGCGAGTATAAAGCAGTAAGGAATTGTTGGCCAAACTTTCGGCAGATAGGTCTACTCGGGAGCGTAAGTGAGGTAGCAACCCATGGTGGAGCGTACATGAGAAGCTGGACGTTGGTGTACGCTCCATCCCGGCGTGTGAGTAGGATTTTAGGCTAAGCAAGTCGTCCCTAAAGATATTGTGGTGAAAATGACCTCCCAGGAGGAAAGTAGCCTGTACCGCGGGA